CAGTAAAGTATGTATATGTGAGAGTGTGTGTGTGTTTAACTCACCTTTGCAGTGTTCACTTTCTCCTTACAAAACTGTGAGTAGTACTGCATGTCCTCTTTGCCTCCCGTTTAGCCTCCACCAGCTCTAGCAACCGCTCTGGACATTTATCCACACAGATCTACACACACACTCAATCAAATCGTGTGTGAGTGACTGTGAGTGTGTTTCACTCACTCCAGTGGGGTCCCGATCTGACCACAGAGCTGCCCGCTACTGTCTTTGGGATAAATCACCTTCCACAAGTTACTCTGAGTCCAGGCTGGAGAGGGGAGTAAAATAGACACGTTGATTATTGCAATTGTTATTGATAATGAATGCAATTATGTACTGAACATATAATTGTGCATAATTGGATGACATACTCCATAATTAGAAATTGGTATATAAATACGTAATTTGTGATTGCTCATTGCACAGCAACGCACAACACTACTATTATAACCACTTAGCAGAACCCTTGCAACCACTTGGAAAACCACAGTAACCATTTGGAAACAACCGCTTGGGAGCTGCTTGAGTCACTTTACATTTTCTTCATGAAATGCACTTTTCTAGTTAGTGTTTATTATTGTATTGTTTATTCACTTTCACAATTCACTTCTTCACCCACTCACAGTAGCTTAGAGCTCTAATACACTAAAGAGATAAATAGATAGATAGATAGATAGATAGATAGAGGGCCAGAATGAAGAGCAGACAGCAGAAAACATCAGTGCAGCTCCTACATACATACACACACACACACACACACACACACACACGTACACACAGTGAAGTATAGGAACTGCGCTGAGATCAATAGTCACTGCTGAATTCTACACACAGTATACACACACTCTACTGAGTTGTACACAGCTAATTTGTACACACTGTGTTTTGTTATACACACTATGCTGAGTTGTAAACACACTGCATCACTGTCTGGTACAGCAGCTGCACTGCTTGTGACCGTATGGCCCTTAAAGGAGTGGTGAGGACGGTGGAAGCCATCATAGGCAACAAACTACCAGCCTTACAGGACATCTATCAGTCCCGCTGCCTCAGGAAAATCAAAAAGATCTGGTCAGACAGCATCACACAGCACACGGCATGTTCACTATCCTGCCATCAGGCAGGAGATTTCGCAGCATTCAGACTAGAACAACCCGGTTAATGAACAGTTTCTACCCACAGGCTGTCAGGCTTCTGAACAAGCTGTGAAGCTGTGGGTCCTTCCCCAACTATCATTTCACTCAGTCACTTTGTCAGTATTATTATTATTATTATTATTATTATTATTATATCATATTACTGCTATGGACAATAACACTTTAAATAACAATAACACTGAGTCACTTAAGTCACTTTAATATGTATATATTCTTCACAGATTATCTCTTGTTTAATATAAATATATTTGTACATAGCAGAGAGGATTTTTTTCCCTTACATAGGGCCCTCCTGTCTCTATATTTTGTGTATATGTGTCATGCCTTCTGTAGCGGAGACCGACATCCCGCACTCCGTCCAGCACTCCAACTCCCAGAATTCAGTGGGAGGCCACATGATCAGGAATTCTCACCAATCCACCTACCAATGTTTACGCTCACCTGAGTATTGATTGTTACACCCGTTTCAAGGACTATAAATGTTGGTTTACCATGCTTTGTCTTTGCGAAGTATTGTTACATCCCTGTGCATTACCGAGCCTTGTTTTTGTGCATTGAATTCCGGACTGTTTTTGACCATCCACGTGAGGGGAGAGCATGTGGGGAGTCTCTAGCCAAGATACGTCAGGAAAATCGTTCAGCGGCAGCTTATGCATTAGAATTTTGGACTCTTGCAGCCAGCAGTGGTTGGAAAAGAGCCAGCTCTCATTGTAGCGTTTCGTAATGGACTTAATTCAGACATTGTTACAGAATTAGCATGCAGAGATGACGAACTGACTTTAGACAAGCTTATCACACTTGCCATACGTCTGAACGAACTCCTGACAAAACGAAATCCACGTAAAACATCATCTCAGGTCAGCATGCCTGATCAGCGAGAAAACCCACCCGCTTCTGGAGATCCAGCCAGAACTCCAAGGAGCGATTACTCTACGGAACCCATGCAGTGCGATTTCTCCAGACTGTCTCCTGAGGAAAGACTTCGAAGACGTAAAGGGAGTTTGTGCATGTATTGTGGCGCTGCTGGTCACTTTATACGTGACTTTCGGGCTCGCCAGCACAAACTTCAGGCGCCGACCCCGGGAAAGCGTGTGGAGGATTCTCATGTGTTCTAATGTGGTGGGTGAGTGCTTCCACAGAGGTGTTGGTTAAGAAGTCTTTCGTAATGCCTATAACCACATACTGCCATGGTATTTCTTCTGTTTTTTCAGCGTTAATTGATTCTGGAGCAGAGGGCAACTTTACCCATGCGGAGCTGGTTCAGGAGTTGCAGATTCCACTCGAGCCCCTGGACAAGCCACTCAAGATCGCCACACTGGATGGGGAACCTGTTGGACTTGGAACTATTTCTCACATTACACTACCTGTCAGAGTAGATGTTAGTTCCATTCATTCTGAACATATACCGTTTTTTTGTCTTGGATTCTTGGAGTTTTCTGTCATTCTCGGGCTACCGTGGTTAGAAAAACACAATCCACAAATATCCTGGTCAGAGAAGAGCATCACATCTTGGTCAGATTACTGTCATTCACATTGTCTTCAATTTCCTACCACTAGCCTTTGTTCTACATCCGTTGAAAGCCCCAAAAATGATATCCAGGTACATATTCCCACAGAATACTCTGACTTGGCTGAGGTTTTTAGCAAGAAGAAGGCCACTCAGTTACAGTCGTGATTGTGCTATTGATCTGATAGAGGGAGCTAATCTCCCTAAAGCACATATCTATCCACTCACACAAGAAGAATAGAGGGCTATGGAAAACTACATAGAAGAGGCTTTAGAGCAGGGATTCATTAGGCACTCTACTTCTCCCGTTGCTTCAGCGTTCTTTTTCGTGAAAAAGAAGGATGGGGGTCTTCGTCCCTGTATTGATTATCGAGGGCTTAATGAGGTAACTAAGAAATTTCCTTATCCTCTGCCTTTAATTCCTGTAGCCATGGAACAATTGCGTGGTGCAAGGTTTTTTACCAAACTAGATTTAAGAAGCGCTTATAACTTGATCAGAGTTAGAAAGGGAGATGAGTGGAAGACTGCATTCCTGACCACTAGGGGGCACTATGAATACACTGTTATGCCTTTCGGATTATCGATAGCCCTCTCAGTCTTCCAGTCTTTCATTAACGAGGTACTCCGAGACATGATAGGCAAATTTGTTATCGCCTACATGTGTGCCAGGTACTTCAACGTTTACTCCAAAATCACTTGTATGTGAAGGGAGAGAAATGCGAATTCCACATGAGAAAGGTCTCATTCTTAGGCTATGTTATCAGCGAATCCAGGGTAGTCATGGATGACCATAAGATGGAAGCAGTTGTGAATTGCTGCTCCTCTCACTGCTCTCCTAAAGGGTGCAGCTAAGAAGCTAGTTTGGAATCCCAACGGCGAAAACGCCTTTCGAAAACTCAAATTAGCATTCACCACAGCTCCCATACTCAAGCATCCAGATCCATCTCTTCCATTCGTGGTAGAGGTGGAGGCATATGAAACTGGGGTAGGCGCTGTCACAGCGTAGTGGAAACCCGTCCAATTTCCCATTGCTTTTTATTCACACAAGCTCACACCCAGTGAACAGAATTATGGCATCGGTGACAGGGAACTTTTGGCAGTTAAGTTGGCTCTTGAAGAATGGAGACATTGGTTGGAGGGTGCTAATCATTCTTTTCTCGTGCTTACAGACCATAAGAATTTGGAATATGTACGTAACGCTAAACGCTTAAACCGTAGACAGGCATGATGGTCACTGTTTTTCTTTCATTTTTGTTTTACTATCTCTTATCGACCTGGTTCCCGCAACACCAAGGCAGACGCACTTTCCAGACTTCTTTAGGGTGAGTTGCAGGCAGAGAGGGGAGAATATGAGCCCAAACCCATCCTTCCTCCTTCAGTTAACATAGCTACCATACGCTGGGAGGTCGATGAAGAAATTGAAAAGGCACTAGAACACATTCAGGTACCACAACATTGTCCAACTACCAAGACTTATGTCCCTGTCCAGTTCCACGATAAACTTATCACATGGGCTCATTCCTTTCTGTCATCAGGTCACCCTGGTGAGACACATACTCAACAACTGCTAACCACCTGGTACTGGTGGGAGACCATTCGCCAGGATATACACAAATTTGTAGCGTCGTGCTCAGTATGTGCACAAAATAAGACTCCTAAAACATTACCTGCTGGTAAACTGATGCCCCTTTTGGTCCCTGAACGTCCATGGTCACACATCACTATCGACTTTGTAACTGATTATAGATCGCTTTGTAACTGATCATAGATCGCTTCTCTAAAGGGGTTAAATTCATACCTTTCGAATCTCTCCCTACTGCCTTTCAGACAGCAGAAGCTATACACACACACATCTTTAGAAATTTTGGTATTCCTGAGGATATACTTTCTGACAGGGGCTCACAATTTACATCACGTGTCTGGTCGGGCTTCTTTGAACACATAGGTGTAAATGTCAGTCTGACTTCTGGCTATTACCTACAGACCAATGGTCAGTGTGAACAAATAAATCAAGACTTGGGGAAATTTCTCAGATTGTATTGTCAAAACAACCCATCAGATTGGTCCAAGTACCTCATTTGGGCAGAATTGGTTCAGAATTCCTTGGTTTGTTCTTCTACCGGTTTAACGCCTTTTCAGTGTATTTTAGGAGATCAGCCATCACTTGCACCCTGCACTGCTCAAGCTTCTGACATACCCGCAGTTGATGAATGGATGCAACGGAGTAAGGAGGTATGGGAGCAAACTCTGTTGTCCTGGGTCCTCTGGACGAGGCTTTGCCTGACGGGGCCCCACCTGCGCCTCTGGAGGCCGAGGGTGGCCCTGTGTATGCTGTCCTTCAGGTGCTGGACTCAAGAAGAAGGGGAGGTTCCCTTCAATATCTTATTGACTGGGAGGGTTTCTATCCACTGTAAAAGAAAAAAAATATTGTAAAAAAAACGGTCAAATGACCGGTAGCAGCGGCTGCCAAACGAAAAAAAAAGTAAAATATCCTTATTAAAAAAAAAAAAAGTACAAAACACAATAATTTTATGGACATTTTCAATAAAGGATTTGCAGAAAAAAAAATATTTTACAGATTTTTCCTATATTATTATGATAAAAAAACCTCCAATATAAAGATAGCACAAAAGGTTTTGCAGAAAAAACTGTTATTTTACAGATTTTTCCTAAATTATCATGATCAAAACACCTTCATTAAAGCGATAACACAAAAATGAATGCAGTTAAAAACTGTACTTTACAGTTTACTAAATTATTGTGATCAAAAACATTCAATAAAGTGATACCACAAAAAAGTTCTTCAACAGATGTTTAAATTACTGCGATCAAACACCTTCAACAAAGTAAAGGTACTAAAAGTTCTGTAGAGATTACATTTATTGACATCAACAATAACATTCAAGCAGTGACAAAGTTTCACATTTATTTTACCCACTCAAAAAATAAATAAAGCACTTTAAAAGTACATAAGACATAATGGACCACAAGTCACAACTTGAACAACCTGTCAATTATTCAAATTAAGCAGACAAAATATTAAATTGTCATTCTAATGATGTAAGACAAGGAAAGCAAATTTTACTAACTGTTGACTGATTCAACAGATTCAGTTTATATAAAAATTAGTGTCAAGAAAATTTTGAGTTTTATTGAAAAACACAACTTAATGGTGGTAAGTAGCTTAGCTATTTTCCACCATTAGCTCAAATCCAAAACAAAGCGCTCTCAGCCCTACATGACACAGGAAAATTAGGCAATATAAATATGGTGGGCGCTGTCCTACCTCAATCATGTTGAGGGGTTTCAAAAACCAACATGAGCATAAAGACTCAATGCAGTTTTTTGGTAAACATTTAACCTGAGCTGTAACGCCAGACCATCCAAAGGAACTTACTTTCCACCACATGTGAAAATTCATCAAGATCTTCTGTACAAACTCAGTTGTCAGAAAGCTGAAAACAAAGGCATAAAGGAGTCCAAATACCATGATGAGTTCATTTCCAAGATTGTTGACCTCTATCACAATGGCCATATGTCCCATAGCTCAGTATCATCCTCATTGCTATCTCTTCAAATTGTGTAAACCCCCATTGTTCACTCACATGTCCTTCTCCGCATCACCAAAGACAGACCTGAACATAAATACAAACACATAATCACTGACAGGTCAGAGAAGTGGACAAGCAGAAGTCTGCATTTTCAAGGCTTGTGAAAAACACAACTTTAGCTTAGCTATTCACCATCATTAGCTCAAATTCAATCAAAAGCAAATGTTAGCTGCTTTTCATTTTGTACCAATAATAAAAGGAATATTAAAGTACTAACTTACTGATATAATTGCCAAAAATGATCCTAAAGTGATCCATCATTAGATAGATTTACATTCTGAATCGACTGCAGGTAGAATGCATATTGCTGATGTTGAAGTAGCATCTCAAATTCCAATGGGAATAAGGTGAACATGCAGCCACTCCATCAAATGATCATTTTTAAAGCACACTTTCATCACGTCCTGGAACCTTGTCTGAGTCCCTCTGAAAACTTTTATATTTATGCATATTTATGGCTCTAGACATCGATTTTCTTCCAAGAATGAACTTTGCGATGCTATTTCAGTATCAACACCATGTATTCTACCTGCAAAATTCAGGGTCGAATCAAATCAATAAATCAAAGACTCCTCCTGGTTATATCTAATCATGGCCATAAATAAAGCTCAATAAGTGAATAAATGCTAAATCATTAGATTGGAATCATAACATCATTTTGTCAGTTCTAAAGTTTGTACAGCACCACCTTAATGAAACCATCGCTTTCACTGTTATTTCACAGATTTAGTGAAATTGCATCTTTTGGTAAATTATTTATCTCTCCAATTACATGACATGCAGCAATTTTACCACTAATCTGTAAATAACACATGGTGTAATTTTCACTGGTATGTTGAGATATCCTGAATATCTAGTTATGCCTAACATCTTGAGACAAATCGTACATGTAAATTGTATTATAATAAATGGACCAGATATTGCTTGAAAAAAAGGTTCTGGTCTTCGTTCAAATACATGACCAGGCTTTTTAGGATGCAGTCCCTCCTGACGTCAATCTTTTTGCAGACTAAATATTGAAATTTATTGAAATTAGACGGATGTAAATCAACCTCAATGCTGTTGCCTAGACTGGCATGTTTTAGTCAATTTTACTTTTCATTGGTTTCATAAAAGCTTCATTTTCACGCTTGTTCCTGATTCAGTAAGTTCCACTTTATCTGCAGAAGTTAACCTACTTTACTGTTCATCTGCGTTTTAGGGGTTTGTTCACCGTAAATTACATTAAAAACAGCAGTAGAATCGCTGTGGTTCAAACGAGTAGCGTTAGCGTGATTTAGACTGCCGTGCTCTGACCAAGCTGCGGTGGTTTTGGGATGGATGTTCGTTAGTTTTCCGATCCGCCGTGCTGTGCTGTGCTGTGCTGGTTCGGCGTGTTGAGAATCTGCTTCTGAGGAATCCAGCACTAGACTAGACACCTAGGTTAGCTAGGTAGGTTAACTACTTCAATTAGCCGCAAGCTAAGTGACCTGGCGCTTTTCGGTTCAGGACAAATATTAACAGTATATGGCTTTCACCCTGCGCTCAACAACAACAGACTGAACAGATGAGAACTAAACGAAAACCAAAGAGACGCTGTTTATATCGGAAAATGCGAACAGACCTCAAGTTCAGCACCCTGGGGGCGATGAACATCACTCGTTCGTGATTCACGTAGCCGTTAGGCGGACAGATGAGCTGTTATAAGCATCAGACACTGACCTCGGCTGTTGGTGTAGATATTAAACTAATTTTGACCATATTTTTAATGTCACAGAGACCACCAGCTGTCTTGCTCATGCCACACAGAGGCCATAGCTGCAGCTGCTGTCCGGCTAACTTCACTTTTAGACTGGGCTGCATAAACACAAAACACAGCCAACGTTAGCTACGTTCGACTGTTACGGAGAATAACAGGGAGAACGTTTTCTTACCTGATATTGCCAAACAGATCCCGTCTGACCTTCTTCTCTGTCCATATTCCAGTTTTTGGTTCTCTGTTGACATCCCACAACTCAAATTCGCTCAACATCAGAATCTGACAAGCAGATGTAAAATAATCCAGGTAACCCAGTGACTGAAGTGGTAGCATCTCACCTGCTCTAACAGACGGATTTTCAAATTTGACCGGGTGAAAGGCGCGCTCAGCTGTGATTGGACAGTTTCCTGGATGACAGTCAGATTTGCCAATCATGCTCTAAGAAACACGGTGAGACAGCCAATAGCAATTGTTACAGCGTGGTAGCATAGCAACAGTAGGAAAATATGACTTCGAAAAGAAAGAAAAATAAAGAAATGAAATGTGTGTATTTCGTTAATATTTAACTAATTGTTTAAATAAGATTTTCATTGCAGTGTATAAATAAAAAATATTAATGTATGATAAAGTTTTATTAAAGTTTTATTAATACCTTTATACATATATAAAGTAATAAAACATGTAAAGCACTGTGTTTAAAGTGCTATATAAGTAAAGTTGACGACTTAACTTCACTAAGGCAAAATAGCAAAAGTATTATTGAATAGAATGAATTTTAAGATATATTAGAATTTATAAATATTAACCCACTCTTAGCCTTTTGTTGTGCAGTGATCACTGTTTTTTCAGCAGTGTGCTCACTGGTAATCAAGTTTTACCGTAAACAAGCAGGAACTGATAATAAGTTCACACTAAATCACATATGTCAAAAAGTTCACTGCTGTCTGGTGGTTGAAACTTTTTAGCATGTTGCTGCTCTGAAGCACTTATGGCTTATCATTCCTGCTTCCACTACTTCCTGCCTGGACTATTGCATTGCCTTGTTTTTCTGACTTTGGCATTACTCATTTTACTTTTGTCAGATTGATTGGCATATATGTGCTCAAACTCACCATGACATGCCTGAACGTTGCAACCTTGAAAACAGTGTGGCTTTGTACTCTTTAAAAAAAAGACTATGCATTATGTTTGATGTAATGAAACATGTCTGCTAAATTTGTATCTATTACAGAGTTTGAATGTTAAATTATACCAAAATCTAAAACTAATAAAATTCCGTAAAAGTACGAAGAAAAAACATTAAATTGTTAGTATGGACATTTATAGAAACCTTTATATAATGTGCTACTTATTTAATTACAGATAATTGTTGTTATTTTCCAGAAATTTGCATGTATTTAAAACAACAGAAAAATACTTATAAATAATACAGTAATTTTTCTGTAAAAAGCAAGAAAAAATTGTAATTTGTAATTATTGGCAGAATCCTTAAAAAAACAGTTGGGCTGTTAATTTACAGATGTTGTCTGTCATTTTACAGAATTTTGTATACAATAAAATAAAAAATTAAGGGTTATTTCCTGTAAAATTAGGACTTTGTTTTACAGTGTACTTTCTCCATGAACAACAATTAAACTGCTAGCTCACACATGCATCCTGCTTCTGTAAAACACAGAATCGTCAATAAAGTTGCCTGCATGCCCTTATAGGTGATGTGTCCCTTACGACTGACCATCTAGCATTCAATACAGCTTGCTGTTTTTCTCACCTGAAAACAAAAACAAATAAGAGTTAATCACTTGCAGCAAGGATAGTACCATTATGCTGAAATACAGGATTATTGTTGATTTATGCAGATTCTTTATAAACATAGCAAGCAGTAGCAGCAGCTGAGAAGTTACCAGTAGGGTGGGCATCCTCTTCATGGCAGCTGCAGTGGCAAACAACTAGAACACATCAATTTAATTGTTTAGTTTAGGCAGAATAACAACAGCATGCACCGCACATATATATGTCCCTCACTGAAGTACCAGTAACACCACTGAACAGACGCTGCACTCACGCTGACCTTTACCACCAACTCCATCTCCCTCACACAATTGTGCCCACTGGTTCCAAAAGGTTCTGAACTTCTGCTAGATTCTTGATGGTATGAATTGATAAGAAACAGAAATGCTGAACTCGTTCTCCTTTATTTCTCCCTCTGACAATTTAGATAAACAGGACAGTATCCCCTATGAATTATACAGTATCTGCTATGAATTATTCAGTGTCTACTATGAATCATTCAGTATCTATTATGAATTAATAGCACTGCTCATGCAGCCAAACCCTACCGGTCCAGGCAGTCCCACATCTGCAGTGCAGTGTCATCCAAGCAGCCAGCCCTGGCAGCCACATAGCTGCGATGTAGCATTGATCAGGTTTCTGGTCCAGGCAGCCTTGTAGCCGCAATACAGCGTCACTCAAGTGGCAGGTCCAGGCTGCATCATAGCTGTGATGCATCGCCAAAACGACCAGCCCAAGAAGCCTCTGAGCTACCATTGGAAAGTCACTCTCAGCTGCTATCTTGGAGGATATGATGGCAAACTCCTCAGCCAGCAGGAAAACATCAAAACATACAGACAAACAATACAAAACAAATGAAAAAAACAAAGTGAAGTGGCAGCCATATTGCACCAGCATACTTACAACAAAGCATGAGCATAAATAAATATAAATATAAATTATTCTGTAACTATTATGAATTATTCTGTAACTATTATTGATTATTCAGTATCTACTATGAATTATTCAGTATTCATTGTGATTCTTCTTTTAAGTATCAGCTATGAATCATTCAGTATCTATTAAAAATTATTCAGTAAATACTTTACATTATTTAGTAAAAACTATGGATTACTCAGTATTTACTATTTACTAAAAATGATGAAGTATCTAATATAAGACGACAATGTAACAACTACCACTGTCTACAATAATTACCATCCAAATGAAACATTTCCTCTTTGTTCCCTTTTATACGTAACATTGAACATCCACAAATACCCCCACTTGTTGGCTTGAGTGCTGAGAAACTGAAGCTGTATGCCTCGATATGGATGGGGGGAAACAGACATTGCGGAGGGCAGTGATTCTGTTTGACCATCCCCACAAACGTCATAAGCCAGAAAATCAAAGAGGTTAATCTTAACACCCCCGAAACACTCGCGAGACAGGTGTTGTGCCGAATTCCGACTCCCCGGCAGAATCCGACTCCCCCTCGCGTGCACGCGCTTCACGTAAACATGTGGACGTTACGGACTGCACTCAGGATAATCCTGGCAAAATTCTACTCCCCCCAGTAAAATCCCCCCTGTTAAATCTAAAGTAAAATGCATTTCAGGACACAATCTACAGCCCAGGACATGCTAGCAAAATAAAGGAGATGTCATTCAGACCTTGCAGTGCTGAGATCAGAGGAGGAGTGTAATTTCGGCAGTTGTCAAAATAATCCTGCCAAAATTCTACTCCCCCAGTAAAATCCCCCCTGTTGAATTTAAATATGCTTTATATGCTGTAATCTATGAACCAGAAGTCAGCAGAACAAGTTAATCATTCCAGTCATAATGCATCCCCAGAGATATGAGGGGCATCATTTTGACAGGTTCACAATACACCCTCTGACTATGTAAAAGCTGAAGACTTTTCAGCCAAAATTAATCTTAAATTACTACCATTACAACAATTGTTCTTACTGCAATTTTTAATTATAGGCAACTCTTTTATGCAGTAATGGATACCAATTCGTTAATTTGTCCAGCTATGCAAGCAATGAAAGTCTGGTTGCTGAATAATGACAAGTAAAACAAGTCGGCCAATACTGCAGCATCAGGTCCTCATATGTGAACTTTATTGCTCCAGACAGAGGTTTAAAGCTGTGTTTAATGTGTCGTAACACTTATCGTCATGACTGAAAGCCATTCAGTCCCACCAGTTCTTAAGTACTGCAACAACAACAATCGTTTTTATTTCGTAATATTAAACTAAACCGTCGCGGTGAGAGTCTTTGTTTGGCTTTAGATCTTGTTGTGTTGTTCGCTGTGAAGGTAAATTAAAGATAAAGTGTTATTTACACAGAAATAACCTAAGAAATCCTGAGTGCAGTCCGTAACGTCCACATGTTTACGTGAAGCGCGTGCACGCGAGGGGGAGTCGGATTCTGCCGGGGAGTCGGAATTCGGCACAACACCGGCAACGAAATGCATCGCAATACCGGCTCTTCCTCGGCGCAAACCCCAAATTGGTTTCACTACCACAAAAACTAACAGCCGGCGTTGCTGTAGAAATGCTAAAAACGGTCTGATTTAAACTTGCAGAAGACATTTTGCAGCAATAGTCACGCAATGTGAGAAGAATGCTTAAATACAATATATGTAAGCCACACCCTGCTCCCCCAACACAAATGTTGGTGGTAGAGGGGGGTGGGGTGAGGGGGGTGTCGTAAAACACCCACTCAAGGCAGACCTGTCCCTCAAACTGGCCTGTCACAGAGAGGGGGGTCATAAATTGGCCTGTCACAGAGACATAAATCAGGTCATAAATCATACATTTGAAAGACAGTGTAGGATACATACTACTGCTGATTACTAATTGCCCTAAGTTCAGATACATCCTGTTTACATCATGGAACTTTAAAGAAATAAATAAACTAGTTTAGTTGTCTCACATTTGCAGCAATTAAATTGCACGAATTGCCTTTCCTTCAGGAAACACACCTGAGATGAAAAGAAGCTCACTGTCTTAATGTGCTTGGGTGGGGCAGGTGATTCATTCAAATTTTAATTATAAAGCTCGAGACACAGCAGTACTTACACACAGCAATATTACCTTTAAAGCTGGCAAAGTTATTTCTGATGAATTCAATTCAGTTAAACGTTATTGTGACCACACTACCCCCAACTGCCCCTCCCGCCTTACAAAAGTCTTCATCCCTGAGTAATAACAGAGTCCTTAAACCAAACTGGAAGCCGCACCATTCTTTTGGGGTGTGCTAGGGTGGGGAACTATGTCTATGTGATCTTGGACCTGCCGAGTGTACTCTGGTCCTGCTGGTTCTGGTAGGGTGTCTGGGGGTGACCTAAAGTTAGTTCAGCAGGGGTCCTAATTTTCCTCACCAGGCTGCTTGGATGTAAGAATAGCTAGCTGCTCTTCCAGAATGCAGTTGAACCTTTTCACCAACCAATCACTATGGGGGTGGGGTGAGGTGGTGCAGGTCTGCCAACACCCAGCCACTCACACATGGCAGTAAACACCCTGGATTTGAATTGCACCTTTAGTCACTATGGATGGACTGAAGAAACCCATACCTACTGAACATCCCCTCAACCAAGGCATTGATGACAGTCAGACAAACACAATACAGTCAATGTCTCCCAGCAGTGCATGGAAATGGCCCTACTTGTCGACTCCAACCCATTGCATGGGCTTGCTCACTGGAAACTACTGCAACTGGGCTCGGGACTGGCCTTGGGGTCCTTTGCATGCAGTACACAAGTCACACCCTCTGCAAAAGTCCTCTACATCCCGCCTCAGTTATCCTCAGTAAAAACTCTTGAAGAGGGTGAAGTGTTTTCGTGACTCCAAACTGACCAGACACTGCTGAGCCATGCATGGCTTTTGAAACTTCCTCCTGCAGCCCTCGAGGCATGCCTATCTGCCATCCCCTTTCCCCAGTCACTGGCTCAGTCCAGGTCCACTTTAGAACACCACCCTCTAAGCAAAGGGTGTAAAATTCGGCCCACAGTCCCTTTGTGTATGGAGACAGGATTGCCACCACCTCCCAGTGGGCCCTTGTTGAGCCCTTAACGACTGTGTCACTGGCTGCAAGTCTGGGTCCCGCGTTTGTTGATCAGCCCGCTCATTGCTGTCCATCTCTCGTAGTACAGCACAGCTTTGTATGGTTGCCTCGCATTCATCACCATTCCCATGTGTAATATAATCGGTGCTTCATCTGCAATATTCCATGTACAATTCTGGTAAAATATCTTTTATATTTTTGTTTTTTCATTTATAATTGTTTATATTGTTAATTTTTGTAAATAGAGTTTATGGGAAGGATAGAGTTTATATTTTTCCATCATATATTTTTTATCTTTAGTACTATATATATTGTCTATATAGTATTATACAACAGTTAGTTCTGGCCACGCAAGCTTATTGGTTGAGAAGCGTTCTAACCGTGCTGTTATTTCTCCATAACATCACGTTACTTTGACGTAGCAACAAGCTGCTTGTTAAGGCACTATAATTTGGCGGAAGGAATTGCTAACATTAAAACATATTAAATGCCACCTTCACTGCCCAATTTATTAATTTCTTACTTTATTTCTTTAACTGTTGTGTAAAAGCAAAAGAACACTCGAGGTTGTGTGTTATCGCTATAACATCACGGCTGTGATGTTATTTCGCGATAACACGCTCCCTCTCGTGTTCTATTGCTTAAACAACACATGCATGTGTACAGGTGTCCATGATAGGGCGCTCACAGTGCAGTGTAAAGTTTATGACACTGGTGTAAAGGTGAAATACTCTCTGCAACTGTAGGGGAGGAGGGCCCAAGAGCAAAAAATACTAATTCTCACATAATGCTGCTTTACATAAGGTGGGGAGAAACCAAGGAGAGTTTTATAGAGGGGTTTCTGTGCAAATCATTATAGAGATGTGGCGCAGCTAGGCAGCAAAGACGAGAAGTTGCTGTTCAGTAAACTCCACTGACTGCAGGGAAGATGGTTGGAGAATGTTTAATACCCCGAGTGGATCACATCCTTTTACCAAATATGGATCCCAGCCATCAAGTGGACAGATTGGGGTCCTGATGGTCCCAAAGGCAGCGAAAGTCTATGTGGCACCCACTTCATATCTGAATGTAGTGTTTTTTTAAGGGTGATCAGCTATCAACACATCCAAACTGTGGTTATGATACTGGTAGCATTTTCTGACGAGGCTAAAGTTGGCTTCTTATTCGAATGCTTCTTGTTCATATTTTCCTATTCCACCTTAAATGGTGTCTGAGTGGGCAGTGGCCTGAGTCACCAGAATGTAACTGCTGCACCATTTAAGATGAAATGGGAATATTCAAACAAGAAGCTGACTTCAGCTTCATGTGATGTAGGCTATCAAAATATCCCACCTACAGTTTCTGGTTGCTAACCTTAGATAGTGAGGCAATAAATAAGTTAGCACTGTGTGTGATTCATATCAATGATAGCTAATCTAAATAATATTGGTTTTGCTCAGTAGGTCATTTTCTAACTAACTGGCCAGATAAACTGTTTATTTAGCTCAGCGACACTAGCAGTGCCACCATGATCCTGATATTGTCAGATAAAGAAAAGAATAGACAGACTCAACAGACAACTAAACCAGGTAAGTTGGGTAAAATTCCTAGGCCACGTCAGTAAGCTATAAAGTTTTCTGTGATTTGGATAGCTCCCATTAGCTAAACATTTAGTGAGTAGCAAACACGGGCATTAATGACTAGTGATAGTCAGCTATTGTTAGCTAACATTTTGCATAATGCTATTTTAATACACAAATGAAAGATGAAAAAATTCAACTCTAAAATGGCATTTTATAATTGAGTCAACAAGAATTTACAAACAATGTGAAATCTAGGACAGTAGCCTTTACAGAATAACAGTTCCTAACTTCATAATCTTATCATTAACTCCACATAAGAAAAGTATTACACAAACATCCTAACTAGACTCAACCTCCTAAAAAAATCTCTGCAAACCTTAAAGGTGGTAGTTTTGTTCTTTTATAAACAACTAAGTTTATGTTCATCAATACCCAAAACAACAGTTATATTCTTTCATACAGGTTGACACAGGACCTATAAACGTGTATTACATTAAGAACTTACAAGGAAAATAACAAACATTGTTCAAACGTCAGATATGCCAGTACAGTGCTGCACTCATAGCACCACTCAGTAGGACGTGTTGTGCTGGGGGCGGTTCATGCTGAGCAGCCATGGGTGGGCTGCACCAACAAGAAATAAGTTAAACAGAGTTTAGACCTAATGAAGGGTTCGTTAACCTAGGATTTGTTTTAAATTGTGTTGCACCACTTAATTTTAAACATGGATAAACAAATCTGTGCTTAAAGCCTTAATCTGCGCCTTAAGCAGCCTTCATTTTGATTGACGATAACATTACTGTCCACACTGTCTGTGATTAGAAGGTACTTTTTTCCATTTTTGAGAGTTAATTAGCTCAGAACTACATCAGAAACAGCTCTCACAGGCAAAGAGCCGGTTCAGACGTTTAAACAATACGTTATCAGACCCGGAGGCTCTGCGTCAGCGCTGTTTATTCAGCACTGAGAAGACTGCTGACAATGTACACTAAACCTGTCTGTAATTTGAATCAAAATATTTTAAATACAGACGCTCTGTATGTTATTCTGTAAGCCACAGTAAAAACTCTATTATTATTTAATTCTTACACAGAATATTGTTAAAGTAAACTTTTAGCCTGCTAGCTAACGCTAGCTAGCTATCTGCCAAGCTGCCCATCATGGATCAGCTAGTTCAACAAGGCCGCATTCGTATCTTGAGTTTATTCAGTCTTCAGCTGTTTACTTAATTTACACAGTTTATAACTGTAAAACATGCATTATTTAGATCCGCTGCTGTGTTTATGTCCTTCTATTTCAGTGATTCACACAAAAGCTACAAGAGTGCTAATAGCGCCCCCTTTTGGGACCATCAGTGAGTTACAACAAAGTCTTTGCAAGTTTTTGCCTTATATTAATATAGTTTTACTCAGAGAGATTTTCTGTTCTGTGAGAACACTCAATTTTTTAACACAGTTGTAAATTTAACCACCAAAATAAGAAGTTTTTCAATTTAATCCCTGAATGAAGTTTAAATCAGGGGAGTCCAATCTTATCCGCAGAGGGCCGGTGTGGCTGCCGGTTTTCACTCCAACAAAGCAGGAGGTCACCTAATGAAATGTATGAAGACAAAGACCATCTGATTAAAGTAGAATCAGATGAGCTGCAGCTTGTTTGGAGTGAAAACCTGCAGCCACACCGACCCTTTGTGGATTAGATTGGACACTCCTGGTTTAAAATGTGTTTATTTCGTGGCGATGGTGTTTAGATGTTGTGAAGAAAAACTCCGCCGATACTGAGTTGCTAGCGAACTATTTATTACATAGTAAAACAGCATCATATCAAGCACTATAGAGCACCTGAGAGAGGATCCGTGCCAATTCTAAATGTCCTCCCCCGAACAGAATGACCAACAGCATATATATATGGTTCTTGTTGTTGAAACAGGAGACAGAGCATATGGTTCTTTTTAAAATGATCTCATCTATTTGGACCTAAGAGAAGAAGTAGGGAGAAAGTAAGAGGCCCCCTTCCTCTGGACCTTTAAATTAAGGGGCTATGGACCCGGAGGCCCCCCCCTGGTTCACATTCCTATCCCCTGCACAAACAGAGCACACAGGGAACTCCTAGATACTTGGAACTTCAGACATCAGCTTATACTCAATGTTAAGAGTGTTTTTACCTTCTTCTATAAAAAGGTTCCTTTCTAAATACACTTCAAAAATAACGGTGCAACAAAATTAAATTCAATCTAGATTTACAGTAAAAGTAATCCAGAATTAAAATGATGGTTTAAATGTATTCCTGATTATTTTTAAACTAGGTTTAACGTTTGGTGCTACAGAATTAATAGATCAATTTTGATTAAATCAGAGATTCAGCTTTATACTTGCTGGTGCAGCCCACCTACATGTTCAGAAGACCTGTCACTCAAATCAGTTGACCAATAGAAAGTGCAGGTGAGCGCCCTTTTCTAAGACCCGCCCCTTGTTAAAAAGTGCCAAAAGTCAAAAGCAAAAGAAAGATTTCTGATGCGAAAATATATCAGCAAAATCAGCAAAAAAAAAACTCAGACAGGACAGTATACATTAAAACAACAAACAATGTGGGGAAAAAAGTAAACAAACAGTAACAAACTGTAAATATACAGTCAGAACAGATGAATATTAAAGAATTGAACCTCTAAAATGCAAATGTAACACTCAGTAACAGTGAAACAGCTCAAAACTCACAATATTACACTCTGCACTGTTTGAACCGACTGGTCAGAATGAACAGTAAAGTGATCTGACACCGTCCACACTGTTAATACAAATAAAACCATCTCTGATCACTGAGTTCTCCCACTTTCTCCTACTGTTTTTTCTCCTTTGTCTCTTCTCTCTGGAGGTTTATTTGCTCATAACCTTGTTCTTTTTATTAAGTATCTTCTGGAGACTCTTGGACATGAAGTACGGCCTCTCTTCAGATCCATCATTGCGCTCCAGATCCTCCACTGAGGGAACAACCATTAAATCAGAACCAAAATCAGCTCAGCAGTGAACAGTAACGGTGTAAACCTCTAATTCACTCTCACTACGATTAGAGCTAAATACCTAAACACTTTAGGACAAACCCCAACAGCATCCTAACTTCTGTTTAAGCATCGTTTCTATTGTTTTTAGGCAGCTATTAGTTCACTATTAGCATAATGACGCTACATTTATACTGTAAAACGCTGCTTTCACTTTTGAGATGTTTTTCTTCTCTAACTCTGCATTTTAAAAATCTCAGACGCTGCAGACTCAATCTACACCGTCCTTCTTACTACCTTCAAAACCAAACGGTCATGCTTTCCTTTCTGATTGACATCAAGTTACTATATTGAAGTCTAATCTGGTATATTTAGAGGAAAACAGTCTCACCTACCTAAATATTTGCGCCTATATTAGTGCCACCAGCAGAAGTGCCAGTGAACCACAGCAGTCAACAGAACGTTCTCTTTAACCATTAATTTTTTGTGAGAAACTAAATTATACAACAAAACATCAGAATAGCAAAGAAGCCTTTTTCACCTTACATAATCAATCAAATGTTGGTGATGCCAACATTTCCATTGTTGTCAGTGGTGTCAGTCATGCAGGCACAAAACGATATTTTTGAACGTCATTATGTAAACACAGCATTAGAGTTGAAGACAAACATATCCAAAGCATAAGTATAGAACTGATTTATAATCACTAAACTATTACAGGAATTTTTCTTACTTTACTGTAAAGTAAAATTTTAAAAGATTGTGAGGTGGCCCTAAATGTTTGGCCTGCAGTGGGTTGATATTTTTAGCATACTGTATTTTCTTGACAGAAGGTTTTGAGTGCTGCATTTTCTCAGCCAGAATATATCGAGCTTTAACACTCACAGAAGCACAGGAACAGAGTGTCCACACACATGCCATAGACGCTGAAGAAGCCGTGGGCGATGATGTAGGCGCCAAACACCACCGTCTAGAACAAACACACACTGCAGTGAAACAACCTGGTAATACTTCTCACAGTAGCATAAACACAGCTGATTCTGTAACATTTAGCATCCTGATATACCACAACAACACAGCAGGAGCTAAGGATTACTATGGATTACTGTGTTATGTCAATAATGCTAATGCTAATAATTCAAGAGAACTGCATACAGCAGTTGTTATATTTTGCAGTATCAATAATGCTAACGTTAATTCCAGCGAACTAATCTAAATACATCAGTAGCTATTTTCTGTTATCAATAATGCTAATGCTAAATAATTTCATAGATCTGAAATGAATGCTACTACTCCTACTACTACTACTACTACTACTACTAATAATAATAATAATAAATGATAATAACAAAAATGGAAAGCTGTTTTTTTAATTCAGCTGTAGCCTGTATTAATGTAGTAAATCAGTAATGCTAATGCTAGTGTCTAAACTTACCACAATGGGAACCCAGTAGTAGTTTAGTGATGGAGCCGCTTCCTCCACAACCTTTATCTTCCCTGAGAAGAAGAAGAAAGAGCAGACTCCTGACAGGAAAGAGAGAAAAAACAGCTAAAGCCACTTTTCTCAACTACTTCAGCAGATCAACTTTTATTTCATACCAATTAATCGTGCAACACCTACATCACAAATGTGCACTTCACAGCTGGAAAAAACAGACAGAAGTAGAATAAAGCAATAAGCCACAAGCGGTTGTGCATTATTGTGATTTTATCACAGGGAAGGGTGTTCTTAGGCACAACGTGAAGCGGAATTAAAACCCTCCTCCCCATTATAAAATCACTGTAGTGCACGGCCTCAAGTGGCTTATTGCTTTTATATCATGTCAGCCAACATAAAATATGCTGAAATACCCAAGTTATTAATAAAGAAATGTAATAATGAGAAGAATGAGGAAAACGTTTGGTCGCCTATCGCTGTATACTGTGGCCATTTCATGAAGTGTTTAACTTTTTCTCACATATCAATGAACATCTGATAACACAGCACTGTTTAATGCAAAAACCATCATTTCATAAGCACTTTTAGTCACCAAATGGCCACAGCGAGTTAGTACATAAATATTTTCTTAAGTACTATAATTGAAGCCTGTGATATTAATAATGGAGTCATTTAGCATGTTTGCTATTTTTTAGCCTGTTAGCTTGCTAACAAGCCTAGTTCTAGTTAAGAACGTAAGTTGCCAGCCCCTCAGTTAAAAAAAAAAAACAGGTTCTTACTTCATCAATATACTTGATGGTCCATGCAAGCAGCACAAGTGTCAAAGACTATTAATAGAACGAGGGTTTTTTCGTTCTGTGGCTTAGTAATACATAATTCAATTGTTGTGAGGTGGTCGCTGTGTGTGTATCAAGGATTTTACAACGGCTTTGAATGCGGCTCAGCTAATCAGATTTTAGGACCGGAATCATCAGTTTTATAAGTCTGAATTTAGGGTGATATTGTTACAGCCTCTACCCACCTGCTCCCTCAATCCTCTACCAACCATTCTAACCTGTCTACCTGCTCTGACTCCTCATCTCATGATTGTTACTCATTCAGTGCTTTTTGTCAAGGTTTCTAAAAAAAAGGCCTTGATTCGACTAATTTCAATAAGTTCCGCCAAATCTCTAACCTCTCATTTCTGTTGAACATGCATGAACAAGTTTATAGCTTACTTATTAAGCAATAATCTTTTCAAACCTTTACAGTCTGCATTCTGTCCGTATCACAGTGCTGAAACTGCCATGACTAAGGATACTGACGACCTTCTTACATCCGCAGATGCTTTCTCTCTGGAGATAGAAAGAGTGTATTTCTCTCACTGGGTTTACTTCATCAACTTTAATTGTCATTTAAAGGGTCCCTTAGGGTTCGGTCTTCGGACCACTACTATTCATCACTTACATAGTGAAGAGATCTGTGGTGAAAAATAGCTGCTGCAATGGTGAATCCTGCCTCCAGCATCCTCCTTGTGCCCAGCGTAGCGCATGACATATGACAAGATCATATGACACTAGACATTTACTGCTATGCTGATGACACTCAGATATGTCTCAGGATGCAATCCACCTCTCAGATAGTTTAAATATTGTTTTTTCTGAGAAACGCTCTGGATGAAACACAACTTTCTGTAATGTTGTGTGATCAGGAGATAATGCAGGATGCAAGTGCGACTTTTTTTTGAAGTCCTTGGCAGAAACAGGAGCAATAAGCAGGAAAAACAAGAACACGAGTAAAATAAACAAGAAAAGAAACAGAACCAAAGCAACAATATAACAACAAAGCTACAACTGCCAAGCAAAGACAAGACTGAAACAAGGGGTGTATATATATACAAACACTCAAGACTAGAGACAGCTGAGAACAAGGATGGGCGGAGCTAAGAACAAGAAACAGGTGTGGGCTGAACACATGGCAGAACAGGGGAGGAGCTAACAAAACAACACAAAAGCACATAAACTAGAAAACAAAGACACACGTCAGACATAAACAAAAGCACATAACAGAGGAAAACAAGGAAACCAAGGCTAAAAAAGAGAAGACAAGGACAAGGCATGACAGGACTATCTTTATATATCTTGATACAGCAGTCTCCCCGTCCCCTCAGGTCAGAAATCTAGGTGTCATCTTCGACCCGACTCTCTCATTCAATGCCCGTGTCAGCTCTTTTATTAAAGTTTGTTTTTTAATCTCCAAAATGTGACCATTCTTCTCTCTTTCTGCTGCTGTATCTCTCATATGTGCTTTCATCTAGTCGTTCAGACAATTGTAACTCTCTCCTTGCAGGTATCAGTTCTTGCCCCTTCACAAATTTCAGATGGTCCTAATCTCTGCTGCTCACCTTCTCACTCATACTCACTCAGCCTGTTCTCTATGATCTCCACTGGCTTCCTGTAACGTACCGCCTTCACTTTAATGTTCTTAACAACATCACTCTTCCTAACTTTCTGATCTTCTCCTTCATTGTAAACCCACCTGTACTCTCTGCTCGTCTTCAGCTGATTTGCTAACCTTTGCCACATCCAACCTTTATAGTTTTGGCAACCAAGCATTTTCTAGATTTGCTCCTCATCTCTGGAACTCTCTTCCTCCGCATGTCCAGCAGTCTGATTCACTTACTGCCACCGAGCTAATCGCCTCTCTCAGTATGTTACACTGTGTTCTTCTTTGTTTTCCTGTTTGTCTTCTGGTGTTCTGTGTTTTATTACAGTTATAAGTGTCTTTGGGTTCTTGAAACGCACTATATATGTTTCATGTAGTGTTATTATTATCATCATTTTGATTATTATTACTGTTGTAGCGACCTGCTACCACCTGAAGCTGGCTCTGACGAGCTCGGGAGGTGTGGCCACGTGAGCAGCCATGCACAAAGGATCGTGGAAGATGCACTGTGTTGTTTAATGTTGTCTGTGGCTGAGCTCCCCTGCGAGTTTGTGAGTATGTATTTGCCTTTTCTGCTGGTGTTTAATAAAAGAGCACTTCTCGTGGGAAAATCATGGCCTCACTCAATCACGGTCTGACTTGATGCCAATGCGACATTATTGCTATTATTAAATATATATTAATTTTCTGCTTTGGGAACCGAACCACAAATATAAAGTCCCGCTTAGTCTGTACTTTCGTCCATGTTTATAGATAACAGTGAATCATACACTGTAAAAAGTGTCTTTTCAGATCTAATTAAAAAAATGACTTAATGTGGTAACAAGTAAATCAACTTGTTTTATTCAACCTAAATAAATACTTTGAATGACCAATTCTTTCAATCAATGTAGTTTTGAATCAAACCAGTTCAATTGCTTGTTACCACATGAAGTAATTTTTTAAAGTAGATCTGAAAAGACACTTTTTACACTGTATTTTGGGTTTGGCCCTTTTTTTTTATTTTTGCACAGAAGTGTATTTTGGGTGTAAGAGGAAGGTAAACGGTGTAAAGTGTCGCTTTAATTTACTGCTACACTCTGATGGAAATGAAGATCCGTCTACAACAGCTCTACTGAGATGGACTCTTTTCGGTGAGGTTTGGCTCTCAGTTTTATTAGTATATTTTATTCAGCTCCTCTCGGCACTTACCCACAATCCCCACTATCAGCAGCTTTCCCAGAAACAACAGGAAGTCAGTCACTTTGTCCAGCACGAACACTCTAAAACACAAAACATGAAATTATTATGAAAAAACATCTTTATGAACGATTTAGTTACTGATACTTATAAACAAAAGCCTAAAAGCATTAAAAGTAGAGAAAAAGTTGATAGATTGTGTGTCAAAATCTTCGTAACTCAACTGGTCAGAGAATGTGGCCACTTGAAAAAAAACCTCCTTAAGTATTCATCTTAAGTTAAATGTTTGAGACAAATTTAAACTTTAAAAATAAATTTATTTTTTTGCAAAAACTAATGTGATGAATTTTATATTTAGGCTACAAAACATTTATGGATCCACAAAACAATTCCCTAAATAGATTTTACACAGTTCACTTAAGATAAAAGGCCAAAATGTACTAATGATGTTTTATGCAAATGACTTTGATGTTTGTAACAAGTAAGTAAATGTCTTAATGAAAATGTAAAGAGTATTTTTTAAATATTATTTTTACTGAGTAAAAGTACAAGCATTCACTTTCAATAGTACTGGAGTCAAATACGAATCTTTAATGCTTAAGTACAGTAATAAAGTACAATCACTGGAGTATTTTCCACTCCTGCTGATTATATAGATAGTCTATAATCGACTATCTCTGTCTAATCCTGGCTGAGTAACAGCACCGTGTGATGTGTCGATTCTCTCACCGGACAATGTTCCTCATCAGGAGGAAGAAAGCATTCTTAGCAGACGTGCAGAAGTTTTTACCATAAATGGCGACCTGGGAGAGAGAATGAGTGAAAAATCGTTATTAACCTTTAATTCTGAGATGCAGAGTCATCAATACTGAAATCAACTTTGTGTAAAACCTGTAACTGTAAAAATCCTACTTTACTAAGATTAGTGCATCACCACTGTAGTGATACATTCACTCCAATACAAGTATAAATAAAAGACTAAAAGAATAAACAGATTTAAGAGAAAAAGAGGATAAGAGTAAAAACTACTCTAAGAATCACTCTGAGCTTCTTTAAGGAACATTTTCTTCACAAAAAGAAGCTCCAACACACTAAGATCTCAGTGATAATAAGCTAACCCATTAGAACATTTGCTGATATTAGCTAATTTAGCTAGCAAACAAGCACAAAAACATTTAAACAACAGATTTAGGTTTAATAAAGAGCTTCTGTGCTTGTTAATCTAGAAAAAGAAACGAGTAAAAGAACACAGTCGATATCTAGCTAAAATTAGCTTAGTTAGCAAGCTACGGGTTTCCTCAGTTTTGAAGCTGAGTTGTGAAGCACACTTACTTTTACTTTGTAACAATAAAAATAAAAGCATCATTTAATTACATCCAAATAAACTGTACAGCTTTCTAAGTAGTGTGTAAAGAGTACTGATAAAGCATAGTAATATTAGGCTGTTGCTTGTGATAAATTTGTTTAAAGTAAAAGTATTAATAAAAAAAGAATGACTAAGCTTTAGAGAAGTGTAGGAGTAAAAAAAAGTACTTACTTTAAGTTTCTTCAACATGTTTTCCTCACAGAAAGAAGCTCCAATATGTTAAGATATGCTGAGTTTATTGTAAGCTAACACATTAGCTTAGCTTGAATGTTATCTGACATTAGCTAAATTAGCCAGCTAACAGACACTCAAAATAAAACAGTAGAAGCAGTTTAGGATTAATAGAGCTGTGTTTCTTATTCTAAAAGGTCAAAATGAGAAGAACTAAGTAACACAGCAGCTAGTTGGCTAAGATTAGCTTAGTTGGTGAGCTAAGTGTTTCCTCAGTTTGGACGTTGGGGAAATCAGAGCACTTTACTCACCATTTGTAATTAAAAACAAAAAAATAGCCATGTTGCATAATTTATTAGAAAGGAACTCAAGTAAACGTAAAATTTCATTACATTTGCGCTGATAGCGGGAAAAACACAGGAACTGCATGAGATGCTAACATTAAATTTCAGTACAGCGGTCGTACCATGATGTAGGCGTTTCTGTTGAGGAACTTGATGCATTTCTCCAAACACCAGAAGCAGCACTTCAGGCACCTCAGGATGAACCTAGCAGCTTTGTTTTCAGCAACTGAGAGAGAGAGAGAGAGAGAGGGAGAGAGAGAGAGAGAGAGAGAGAGAGAGAGAGATGTCACGAGGTCAATTCATGGTATTGTATTACATCATTAGGAAGAGCACATCTCCATGTTGGTAGGTGAGCTGTGACTGTGTGGAGCTTGTCTCATCACTGTTACTGCAGATACAGCCCTGCAGGTGGATAAACACCAACAAAACATACAAGAATGACGATGAAAACATGAAAAGATTTGAGGACGTTTCAGACAGTCTCCAGAAAACGCTACGAGAAGAAGATTAGCAAGACCCAGATAACAAGAGGATGGTGGGCCACTATTGGCCTGCTGTTGGCAAAGCTTGTGGTTAGAGATGAAACGGTTACCGGTTTCACGGTAAACCGCGGTAAAATTAATGACGGTTAGTAGTACCATTTAAACTTTAAAGTATCGTTAAAACCGCGGTTGATTACTGCGGTGTGAAAAACTCGGAGATTCGGAGATATTTCAGCCTTCTAAGAAGACCAAGTCTGACGTCTGGTCATGTTTTGGGTTTTATAAGAATGCAGAAGGAAAGTTAACTGAAGATGACCACCCTGTCTGCAGATGACCACCCTGTCTGCAGAACAGGCCGAAAGAAAATAGTGGCGAAAGGGGGCAACACATCAAACCTTACGAGTCATCTTCGCGACCACCACCCGCTACTTTATAGAGAATGCAAGGTTAACTTTAACGGAGAAGTCTGTGGGGACTTCGAAATAGAAGAAATGTGGTTCGTTAATAATATAAAATGAAGCTTTTAGCGTCAAAAAAATCTGTGAATTGAAACTAAAGCTTTTAACACATTTCTGTGGAGCAGAGTCTCCAAAATGAGCTCTGAGTTAACGAGACGCTGCAGAGGTTCAATCTGCACAGCCCCCCTTTCTCGTCCCTCTTGCAGTGTTTACTGTCTGAGAGGAGAATAACACCGTCTCAAATCACTCAGTGTCCCCTACATAGGGCACTACTGTTCAAACACGATCATCATTAACAAGCAGCTGAGTTTTAAATAGGGAATTTGTAACCTGTTGTTAATGTTGATTATAGATGACTTAGTCGAACATTTCTTGCACTCTTCGGGTGAAGGATTTGCTATTTCATGATCCACGAAGTGCACTACATAGGGGAGATAGTGTGCTTTGAGACGGGACCTTGCGCGAGTGAACGCTGTGTGCTGATTTTAGGAGAAGCAGAGTTTCAGAGATTAAACTGTAGGAGTGTTTCTGCCGCAGCTCAGATGCGTGTTAATTTTAAGTTATGTTTTAGTTTTAAAATGCTTTTAGAGGAGCAGCTCCACAGGTGAAGACACGTTGTGTGAGTTCTACACTGTCTGCAGCTCACAGCACGGTCACGCAATTCCTCTGTGATTTTGGCTGTTTTTCCTGCTGCGCTGTGTTGATTAGGGGTACAGCGCCACAACGGCACAATAATGCTGCAGTTGCAGTTCGGACAGAAATCCCCCGCTTGCAACACTTCTTAGAAGTAGTCATTTTCCGTTAAGACCCACCTCAGAGTTGGTCGAGATTTAATTCTCTATGCAGGGAAATCCCTAGTTATTGTAATTAATTAATTGATTAATTAATAATTGTGATATGAAAAGTGATAATTTTGGTCATGATAATTGTGATATGAAATTTTAATATCGTTTCATCTCTACTTGTGGTCCACTGGTGTTTTGCTCAGCGTTTTCTGGGTGCTGCTTCTGGAATGTTAGAGAAAATGCCACTTTCCCTGCTTATTTTGCACTCACACACAATGTACTTCATTTTCTTCCATTTCTTTCTTTTCTTATCCTCTGTGACTAAGTTTAGTAAATCATTCTAACATAAATATTATGAATAAAGCCACTTATACAGCTGTAGCCAATCTAGCACAGTGTTAGCCTCAACATTCTCAACTAAATTATTTTGTGTTAGGCCTAGTCATTCATTTTTTTCTCTGTTTTTTGTAAATATTTGTCTTAGTTTATTTTCTAAAATGAACAACTATGTGCATTTAAAATCTGTTTGAGGAGATTAAAAACTAGTTAGGCCTTATATGCAGGACAACAGTCTGGGTGGTCCGAGGATGGACCAGCAGTGGCAAACAGTCAGCGGGGGTTCTTATCAAGCCAGTGGACCAATGTACGCTCGCTGTCTGAGGATTGGTGGATCTGTGTAACCTGCATATCTCCAGAAAATTCCAATAAAAATAGAAAAACGGCTATCAAAGCTGCCAAAGCTCTGAAATAATAAACCAATACACAGACATAAAGCTGAAGTCAGCTTCTTATTCACCAGGTTCTCATTCGAATTCTCCGTTCCACCTTAAATGGAGCTGCAGTTATACTGAGGTGACTTAAACGTAGAACGAATTTCAAAAAGGAAACTGGCGAATGCAAAGTCAACATCAGCTGACCTTAATAAATGCATTCATTTACCTCAATAAATGTTTCTTTAATCAGGAAACGCCTTAAAATTTGTCTTGGAGGTGTTTAATGAGCAGCTAACGAGCAGCTTAGCAGAGCAGCAGTTGAACGCGTCTCACTGGCGGATTTAACGCCGCGTCCCAAACCACACACTTTTGTACTTCACCTACTACACTAATGAGTGCACTTCTAATGGGATATGAACCATTTTTACACACTATTTACTGAGCTAGTGTGTAGTTTGGGATGCAGCAGAAGTAATGCAGCAGGAATTCTCGGGAATTTAACACGCTTTTCCACTTCATGGTACTGGCTCGACTTGATTCGACTCTACTCGCAAACCTGGTACCAGGTACTATTTCTAGTACCACCTCTGTCGAGGTTCCAAGTGAGCTGAGCCCATATCAAAAGGTGACATAAAAACGCTGCAGACTGCTGATTTGTCGTAGGGAATCACTAAACACATATGCTAACATTAGCTAACAGGTTAGTTTAGCTTCCTCCTGCGTCTCCTTTGAGCAGTTACGAAGCACCTCTGAAGGCACATTTAAACGAGCGGCTTTCTCATGTTATTTCGTGGTAAGACAGAAAACAGGAGACACAGAAAAAACAGGAGAAACGAGAGGCAGAAAAGGCAGAAAAGCTCCAGCTCACCTTTCAGTTTCTTCTCAAGATACTCCAGGATCACCCTGATCACCTGAATGATGGAGAGGATCAGAGAACCAAAGGCCAAGGAGCCTGTATGATACCTGAGAGAGAGACCATCATTAATCACACTCTAATCACATGATTTTGTGCTCCTGTTTTTAGCTGTGGCAATGTATTAATAGTCTATGTAGGGTGCCAGAAACCACACGAGCATGTTTATTCTTGCTTGCCAGTTTCTTAGTATAATTTTCCATTCCACCTTAAATGATGCACAGGTGCCAGATCATAACTGCTGCGGCATTTAAGGTGGGACAAAAAATTTGAATAAGAAGCCAACTTCACTAACACATTACAAGCGAGTGTGTGATGATCAGGCATGCAGTTAGCATCAGCAAAAAATGTACGTATCAAAATGTCCAAAATATGTTGCAAGCACAAATAATGACAGTTCAAGCTTAATCTTCAAGCTTAACTTTTCAAAAAGATGTTTACTTATTTTCTCTCATTCTGATATAAATGTATTACTTATTTTGCCAGTTTTTGCCTTACCTTTTTTTCTGTTTGCTGATTTTGCTGATATGTTTTTTGCTTCTGGAATTGCTCTTTTGCTTCTGACTTTTGGCACTTTTTAACAGGGGACGGGTCTTAGAAGAGGGCGTTTACCTGCACTCTATTGGTCAACTGATTTGGTTTGACAGGTCTTCTGAACACACTCACCTCAAACATGTTAGTGTAGTTGGCTTTCTGCTCACCAGCTCTGCTAGGTTCAGGGTTAAGACTGTAATTTGAATTGTTAGCAAACTATTTTTTATGATGCTATGAAACGGAGTTGGGCAGTAGGAATAGTGAATGCACCTGAGGGCCCGTCCGAGTGAGGAGAAGATGGGGAACGCCGGGATATCATCTGGTTTGTTGAAGGCCCAGTAGTAGGAGGCGAAGGCCCCGGCCAGGGTCATCTGACCCAACGCCGTCACAAAGTTCACACACCAGAAGAACATGAACAGGTTATAGAACTGGAACACGATCAGGTACTTATGGAGGAATGTCTCTCCGCCATAGAACGCAAACAGACATTCCGCATCTGGGCACTGCGTGAAGACCTCAGAGCTGTTGAACTTCTGTGGAAAATATATATATATATATATATATATATATATATATATATATATATATATATATATATATGCAAATCTGCATACATTCTGCATGCATCACATCACCGTCATGAACTCTATATATATGACTGCCTGTTGAGCCTACAGCAGTTTAGCCCCGCCCATTCAGCCTACAGCAGTTTAGCTCCACCCATTCAGCCTACAGCTGCAGCAAAAACAGTCTGTTAATTTGTAAGAGATTAGGAAAATGATCAAGTAGAAATTAATTATGGTATATAAATTCACACAAACTTTACAAGAGAAAAAAACCACAATAAAAGAAGAATGTAGTGTACATGTGTACTGTAGAAATGATTATAAACATTTTATTATTATCAGTTCCTAATAATATTATTAAAAGGTGTTTCTGGAGACTGACCTGAGGGTCGCAGATCTGTCCGGAGTATTTACACTCTGTGGTGTTGAAAACTTTAAAGATCGGCTGATTGGAGGTGGACAGTAAGCTGCAGGAGGCAGTTAAGGATCAGCTGGACGTTCCTCTATAGGAGCACTTTATATTTATATTTGATTACTTTGAATCATTTGATAATTTTGTAATATACATTTAAACTTTGTATCCAGCTTTTATAAGTACTATATCTGTCTTTCTATCTGTGTTTCTGTCTGTCTATCCATCTACCTGTCTGTCCATCTATCCATTTGTCTCTGTCTGTCCCTCCATCTGTCTATGTCACGCTGACAATCAGTCTGTCTGTCTGTTAGTTGAGTGAAAGTAACTGAGAGTGATGGTGTTGTGTCTGTGAGGTGAGTCAGTGAGTGCTATAAGAGTGTGTGTAACTCTGAGGAGGATACGCAGAGGTGACGGCCCAGTACGCGATCACCAGAGACACGAGCGCAAAGGTCAGCAGAGGGTAGAACAGCGATGACATCATATGAGTCAGAGCCCTGAAAAATAGATGGGGTGAAAACTACAATAACACAACTATAACAAAACTAAAACAATAATAACTACAATTAATTCATAATTATATTAATACTGAATTAATTAATTTTTGTTTTTTTTATTTGCTAAATTCAGCAAATAAATTTGCTCTACATTTTGCAGAAAAATGTCATATGTAAATGTGCTCTCTGTAGAGGATGTTCAGGATGAACTTATTTTCACTTAGAAAATAAACAAAACATTGCATCTCACATTTTTGTCAGTAGATTTTTGAAAGCCAAAGTCACTGAACTTTGACACACAAATTTGCATCCTTTGGGTTTCATATAGCAGCACTGAACGTCCAAAACAGAGGAAATGCTAATTTTAACAGCATTTAATCAAAAACCTTTAGGCAGTTCATCACCACTCTCTATAAATAGTCACAAAAAGAGAGACTGTATGATACACAGTCTGCCTCTAGACTGTATTATTATCGTTGATTTTATGCTTTAATCTTACAATAGTAGCCTAACTCTAATGTTAGCTTTTTGGCTAACCACAGCTGTACACAGTCCACTGTAGCCAACCACATCAGATGGGGGAAGAACATGGCTGAAACCCCTTCTTCTTCCATTATAACACCCTATAAATTCATATCCTCCCTTTTTGTTCCTGTGACGAAGCGTTCGCAATCTCGCCCACCACCCCATCTCCTTCCTGTTCCTCAGTCCTACATCATTCCTGCTACAGCTATGCGGGGGGGTCTGGCTTTTTAGCTACCGGCAGAAGCTGCCCAGATACTACCACCACCATGTTGAAGGCATGCTCTGAACTTATAAACTACACTTTATTACTGCAGATAAGTGTATATATATATATATATATATATATATATATATATATATATATATATATATATATTTATTTATATATAATTATTTGCTAAAGTTTTGTTAACTTTTGTGTAGTCACTGTTTATAGCTTAGCTGCCTGGAGCAGCATGTGTGCATGGGGGGACGGGGGGGTGGTTTGTGCTCACCTGCTGGCCTCTTTAATGAGAGCAATGGCGATGACGATTCTGTTTCTGAGGAAGATGAGGATGAGAAGGATCACCAGCTCCACGATACCCAGGATAATTGCTGAGAGAGAAACACACACAGACTGAAAGATGAGCTAACCACCATATGTGATAATAATATTAATAATAGTAAAACTAATATTTAGAATAATAACAGTAACAAACTCACTGAAGGCTATCCAGGTCTGCTGGATCTGCAGGTAGATGTAGAAATCTGTCTGCAGCCCCAGATCCTGTAAGGTAACATTTGATCCAGCTTGGCCTTTCAGAGCTACGTACTTCATATAACAGTAGAAGGTACCTGAGAGAGAGAGAGAGAGAGATAGATGAGTGGGGGGGGGTGATTTTGTGCACCAACACTATCATCATACCCCACTGAATGTTGCTGAGTTCATTTTCAGTTTGATTTTACTGGTAGACACGACTGTTTCATTTAAAGGAAATCATAAGAAGTTTTCTTACTGGGGTGTGAAAACAGCCTGACTTACTGCAGAGGAAACGTTCTCACCGTAACCAATAACAAGGATGACCGAGATGATTATCGTCCAGATTATGGCCCCAGCCAGAAAACGCAGAAGAACAATGAAGACCATGCTGAGGACCATGGCAATCACTAATCCACTGAGAGAGAGAGAGAGAGAGAGACTCAGACAGACAGAGAAACAGACATATTATACAGTATTGTACTGTCATACAGTGTGTTGTGCAGTGTTATCCTGTGTTATACAGTGTGTTAGTGTGATACACAGTCACACAATGCCTTGCATTATAGTGTTAAGTGGTATACAGAGTTATGCAGTCTTATGTGTTTTTTACAGTGTTATACAGTGTTTTGCAGTGTGTGAGGCTGATGTTAATTGGTGTGTAATGGCTGAGAGTCTCACAGCAGGATCCAGCGCCAGGACTTAGTGTAATCCTCAAAGATCTTCATGGCCACCTGCCGAGCTTCTACAACGATGTCGGACGTCCTGCAGAAACAAAAAACTATTCAGCTTCTTACTGACAGTTTAACACTGACATTCATACACACACTCACACACACACACAGACTGACTTGCTTGTGGCATTTAAGTTGACGTTGATAGTAGTGTTATCAACACTGACGACTGCGCCACTTTCTGTCTTCTGCAGGATTAGGAGACACCTGTGCATAACTACACACACACACACACACACGCACACACACGCACGCACACACACGCACACACACCATCAGACTCTGGCATATAAACAGGTCAGATCAAAGATGCTGATACAGAGCTTAATAACTCACTCGGCTCGCTACGAATGATCATCCCTGGACACATTTCATCTTTTGTGAGTTGAGTATCCGGCTGTAAATAAAAACAAACAACAGTAACAACGTCAGTGTCACCAAACAACAAACACAACACAGCTCAACTCAACACAACTCAACAAAACTAAAAACTTAAACAACTCAACACATCTCAATAAACTAACCAGAACTCAATCATCCCAACACAAATCAAACAACTAAACACAACTCAATCAAATCTATACAACTCAACACAATTAACTCAACACTACACAGCTCAAGCAACTCAACACAAGACAATTACATCAACTAAATGCAACTCAACACAGCTCAATCAACACAACTCAATCAACTAAATACAACAACAGAACTCCATCAAATAAACACAACTCAGCACAAATAATACCACTCAATCAACTAAGCACAATTCAATCCGCCCTATTATACACAACTCAACCTGATAACACTCAAATAACTAACAACTCAAATCAAACAAATCAATATAACAAAACCCAATCAACTCAACACAACAACACAATAACACAACTCAATTACTCAACCCAACTCACTCAACTAAACACAACGTAATCAACTCAACAAATCTCAATCAAAACAACACAGCACAACTCAATCAACTAAACACAACTCAGCACAACTCAACACAACTCAATACAGCTCAACAACTCAATCAACCCAACACAATTATTTCAACTAAACACAACACAATTGAATCAACTCAACAAATCTCAATCAAATCAACACAGCACAACTTAATCAAATAAACACAACACAATTCAACACAGCTCAATCAACTCAATACAACTCCACAAATCTCAATCAATCCAACATAACAAAACTCAATCAAATAAACACAACTCAACACAGTACAACAAAATACCACTCAATTAACGAAATACAACTCAACTCAATCAAATCGATATAACAAAACTCAATCAAATCAACACAGCTCAATCATCTAAATACAACCCAATCAAGATAATATAACTCATCAAATCTCAATCAAACCAACACAACAAAACTCAATCAAATAAACACAACTCAACACAACCCAATACCACTCAATTAACTAAATACAACTCAATCAACTAAATACAACATAACAAACATAACAAATCTCACTCAAATCAACACAACTCAAACATCTAAACACAACTGAATATAACATCTGAACTAACTAAACAAAACTCAACAAAATTCAAAAGAACTCAATTAACTGAACACAACTCAGTCAACTGAACACAACTCACTCAACTAAACACAAGAGCATAACTCAGTCAACTCAATACAACTCAATCAAATCTACACAACAGAGTTCATTAAAGTCAACACAACTCAATCAACTCAACACTCAGTCAACTAAATAATACTCTGCACAACTTAATCAACTCAACACAACCCAACACAACTCAATCAACTAAACACAACATTACAATCAACTCAACATATCTCAATTTAATCATCACAACTTAACATAAATCAATCAAATAAACACAGCTTAATATAGCTCAATGACCTCCACTGAACACAATCATCTCAATACAGCTCAATCTTACTAAATACAACTCTAGACAACTCAATTATCTCTATACAACTCATCACAACTCAATCAATTCAACTACAAATAAGTCAATCAACTCAACACAACTCAATCAGATCAGCACAGCTCAACACAAATCAATCAATAAAACACAACTCAACACCATTCAATCACCACAGCACAACTCACTTATCTATACACAACTCAACACTATTAACTCAACACAACTCAATCAAATCAACAAACTCAATCACCTCTACTCCATTTAATCAACTCAATAACTAAATAACTCAAGTAAACTGCACCCAATTCTGTAAGATGTGTAAGAGGTATTCTCTCAGTAACATTTTGTGTGTGAGAGAGAGTGAATGTGTGAGTGTTTAACTCACCAGTGCAGTGTTCACTCCCTCCTGACAGAACTGTGAGTAGTACTGCATGTCCTTTTTGTGTTTAGCATTCGATAGACTCAGCGACCGCTCTGGACATTTCTCCACACAGATCTACACACACACACACACACACACACACACACACACACACACACACACACACACACACACACACACAATATCAATATCACATTGTGATATGACCAAGTTCACACATCAATAATAATATACGTGCTGCTGCACACTGTAGTTAGGCTGACCACAACACAGTGTAATCACAGAGCAGGTAGAGTTGGGTAATATGGTGGGGTAATGAGAGTTTTATGTTGGGGTAAATGGGTATTACCTGTGTGGTGCGGTAAAAGAGGTTTTTTTGGGTTAGGGGGTGTGCGGTAGTACCTGTGTGGTGGGACACTGGAACTCCAGCAGCACCGTCAAACTGACACACTTCAGACCATTAATATAAAACAGCAAGGGCTTCTTCCTGCATACACACACACACAGAGTGAGGATGGACTGAGCTCGCCGGAGAACTAGCGTTTTCACTGAATTAAACTGTGTGTGTGCGTGTGATTGAGTGAGTGAGTGATTGTGAGTGAGTTTAGTGCACTCACTCCAGTGGGGTTCCCTTCTGACCACAGAACTGCCCCCTGCTGTCTGTGGGGTGAATCACCTTCCGCAGGTCACCCTGAGACCAGGCTGGGGGGTGGAGGGGGACATGTTGCTGGCATTATTAATGAATGTAATTATGTACTGATTGGTATATGATTACTGATTGCTCATTGCAAAGCAACATGCAACACTATTGCTATCAGATGGAATATTCTTTTTCCTATTATTGCTGGATTTTTGTCCACTAACTTATCCTGCAGCTTTTGAGGTACTGGCAACTCCAGAATTTTTGGTTAATGGTGTGCTTTTATGCAGATTTTTGATTTCATACTTTTATTGTTAAATTATGATTTGTTTCCCCACGAAGAATGAATGGGGTGCAAAAGTGTGTGCATACATAAGTATGACATAAATTAATTTGTAACATCATATTACCCATGTGGGTACAATTGCAACCACATAGCAGAGAGAGAGAGAAAGGATTTATTTATTTTACAGATGACAAAACTCACCCATATATCCGACTGCCAAATAACCCAGCATGCCCAGAGTGAAGAGCAGACAGCAAAGAACATCAGTACAGCTCCTACACACACAGTGAGTTACACAATATGCTGGATTATACACACTATGCTCAGTTATACACACTGCGCTGAGTTATAACACACTGCACTAAGCTATACACACAGTGCTGAGTTATAACAGTGCTGCCTTATACACAGTGCTGAGTTATACACACTGCACTAAGCTATACACACAGTGCTGAGTTATAACACTGCTGCCATATACACACAGTGCTGAGATATATACCCACTGTGCTGAGCTATATACACTATGCTGAATTGTACACACTGAGCTAAGCTGTAAACACTGCGCTGGGTGTAATGGTGCTGGTGTCCCTTTGTGATTCTGAGAGAGGAACTGACCTGCAGCTCACACTAACACTGACTCAGGGAGGAGTATTATGACCGAATTAGCTGTTTTACAATGGAATTAGAATTGAATTACAAATGATTTAGAATTAAATTAGAACAGAATTGAAACAGAATTAAATCTGAATAAGAATTGAATTAGAAATAGTTTAGAATTAAAGTACAGTACAACTGCAGTTAATTAACAATAGAATTAGAAAGAATTCACTCAATTAATCTAGAATTAGATTTGAAGAGAAATTGAATTAGAAACAGCTTAGAACTGAACAGACAACACTTACTGTTGTTCAAAGTGTAACTTTACATCCGTGTGGTCAGCAGTGTGACCAGTGGTCTAACAAGGTGTGGGCCTACCGAGCAGTGTAGTAACTTGATGTTTCAAACATTTTATTGTGTTTTAAATGTTAATTCAGTACAGATTGATCTTAATATTCCTTCTAACACCATGATAAGCTGATATAGGCTCTCAAAATATCTTGATTAATTTTTTTAATGCTGGTAATACATTTAATTAACTGATTTAGGCTGTTAAAATCTTACATGTGTACTTTTATGCAGAGTGCTACCTATAAATATGCACTATGGCAGGATATTTTGACAAGGTTTTGTCAAACTCAATTTGCCAGAACACCAGAGATGAGGCAGAAACATTCGATGGAGATGAGAAATGAAACAGGAAAATATTTCTTACAGTAGACTTAAAGCACAGATTATAAACTGTTACAACAGTGTCAATGAAGTTAATAACAGTCTCTCTCACCTGTTGTGAATGGGCCCTTTAAAATTAGGGTCAAACCTCCGGGAGTCACCTGCAGAGAAAAACAACAAACTTTAATTCATTCATCTTAATATGTCAGTATCTGATCAATACAGTGATCAATACAGTATAAACACTGCAGTGGGAGCTCTAATGCAGCCTGATAGCCGGTCTATGTGAGTGATATTGAGTGATTGCTTAAATCATTAAGCAGAACCCCTCTGAGTGAACAGTTCTAGATACACAGAACCAAATTCACTGCAATAGACACAATATAGACAATAAGACACCCAACACAGACCTGTATGACTGATATAAACACCACATTCATCTTCCCTTATCAATATAACTGCTGTTTGATCTCCACTAATCTCAGTTTTAGCATTAAGGGCTGTTTCAGTTACTATGATCACCCTCTTTGAAAATGAGTTAAAGTATAAATTAAAGCTGTTTACCGTATTTTTCCTTTGCCATCACTGAGGACTGATTTCTTCTTGTTGCATGAACACTCACACACCTCTTCACCACCTCCTATCTGACAGGAAACTGCTTGTGATGGCATGTTTGTGTTCAAGCTAAAGTTGAACACACTTCATGTCCAACAGCTAAATGTAGTATGACAAAGAAAAAAATGACACAGAACATTTGTATACTGAAATGTTGTATTTTTGTATGAAAGGCTATCATTTGAAATGAAGTTTCCAGTTTTATTTACACTCAGATTTGTACTTTATATTGTTTTGTTGAAAATCAGTAATCCCATATGACCAGAAGACTGAACTTAACGACTGATTAAAATAAATAAATATATAAATAAATAAATAATAAACTTTCTTTTAGGTCTATGCTTTGATCAGTTTTGAAAACTTTCTTCAGATTTGGGCTTAGAGTTGTAATGACATAAAAGCATTTATGTCAGCTTTTTTGCTGTCTCATCCAGAATTAGTAATGATCAAGTTTAGTTCTCTCACACGGTCACCAGTCAGGTGATCACAGTGCTCAATTTTCATACTGTCATTAAATAAATGTCAATCCGGCTATCTAACACCTGCTAAATCACGCAGTGGTGTCCACTGTGCCAGTGCTGGTGATTTCTGCCTTTTTTTATAAACTCATCTACACAAACACAGAGGATTATGGGATATGTAAGGCAGTGAAAGATACAGAGAAATATGGTGGAATGTATTGGTCACTTATTGGTCAGTGGAACATTATTCAGTGGATTTAATTAGTACGTTTGCTGTTTACCTGCAAGAACAAGATTGAAACATGATTAACAAAATTAGAACAAAACTTTGCTGTAATCTTAAAAAGAGGAAATCAATTGCTAAACTATGTGACTGCATTCCTGGAAACATCACAACTTGGCAGCTCAGCTCCTTATATCCTCTCTGTGGGTAGGTCTTTTTGAGAAGAGACGTAAACATGCATGAGAACTATCGAGTGTGGCGTGAGAGCGAGAGAACGAGATCTGAATGTGTGAAAGCTGGCAGCCCTGTCTGCTTAGTTTCACCCCTATAGTAACCACATCTGTGGTTTTGTACTGTGGCATCAGTGCAGAGTGAGAAGAGACAAGAAACGCAGCGCTTCAGGAAAGAGAACTGAATCACGGCAGCAGTAATAAACCATTTATTGTATCTTACAAACCATTATATTATTTAAATCATTACTTATAAGCCAGCTTTTATGTGTCAGTAACTGGACAAAAAAGTCATGAATGAACAGACAGACATACACACAAAGGAATGAATGAACAAATGGACGGACAAAGCAAAGACAAAGGAACAAAGAGTGCATTTGCATCAATAATCTGACAACTGCAACTTTCATGCTAGAAAGTTATCTTCTCAAGCCTGACCCTCAGCCACGCACATTGCCTCGAGTCTCAAGACTCGCTGTGCAGTGCTCGCTGTCAGGCTTTGTTGCATCGACTCCAGGCCTTCCCACACTGACTCTGGCCTCCAGCCTCACCTTGCCATCTTCCAGCTGGGGTTTGCTGACGAGCCTTGCTGTGCCACCTTAACCACTGCCCTCACTGCCTGTCATTACCTTTGCAGTGTGGTGTCAGCGGAGAGTAAAAAGACACAGGAAACATAGCGCTTTAGAAAGAAGCTCTTTTATTAAATCACGGCAGTGGTGAGAACCACCGCCAGCACTCTAAATGGCTGGGACTGCAGGCATTATATTATATAAATCATCAGCAACTGGACAAAAAAGTCACAAATGAACAGACGGACATACATACGAATGAATGAATGAACAAATGGATGGACAAAGCAATGACAAAGGAACGAAGAGTGCATTTACATGCACTCAATAATCTGACAACTGCAACTTTCATGCTCTTGGGGGATCAGATAATGGAGAAACTCTGGGTCTACATGCGTCAGGCAGTAATCGGATTTTTCTAACCAGCCAATAAACTCAAAATAAGATGTGATGTAAACGCAACATTAAACTCAAATGTCATGATCAGCATTTTTTAAAACATTGAGTCATCTTAGCTGAAAATATGAATATACATCATCTAGAAGATGAAGAATGTTTAAATCCTTCATTTTGTCAAGTGTGTTGTCAGTTTCAGCATCGCTCCAAAAGTGTTGTGCTGCGTCTTGCGGGTGCTGTGTTTAACGCTGCTTGCTGTTTTCACACGTGCGCAGGCTCAGACAAACGAAAGAAATCTGAGTTAGAGTACACTTGCACTGAGAACTCTGATTTATGAGTTCCAATCCAGCTTCCTTTACCAGATTTCTAGACCTCAATCAGAGTGTGCTGTTTACACACCCATTTGAATAATCAGATAACTGCAAAATTCCGATAGTGATCAGATTAGTAAGTGCGTGTAAACACAGTCAATCTTGTTGTGTGGATAAAGGAATGAATGAGTGACAGGCAGCTACAGACAGGTGGGCTATCTTGCAAACTTTTGGTTGTGCATTCCAGTGGTGGACAGTAACTAAGTAAATGTAATTCATTACTGTACTTCAGTCATTTTTTTGTGTATCTGTACTTTACTGAAGTATTTCCATTTTGGGTGACTTTTTACTTTCACTTCACTACATTTCAAAGTCAAATGTCTTACTTTTTACCCCACTACATTATGCGAAATCTGTCATTCCTTGTGGTTTATGTGTGTGTAAAAACATAACATGTCAAAACAAAAGAACACCAATCAGGGCATGTTTTGTTCTGAGCTTGTTTTGACCTGTTGGATGTACCGACCCAGTGCAAGCACATGGTTCTACAACAGTGCAGCAGCGTAAAATTTTGGGAGTCTTTTCCGACATAAATGATGGAACTAAACTAAATTTGTGTAAATAGACCACAATATAGAAATATGTACACATATGCAGTTGGGACTGGCATGTGTCTTTTTTTCAGAATTTACACAAACATTTTTTTCATTTTATAGTAAATTTGTTTTGGCTAGTTTATGTTTATGAACAGAGACCTACAGATGTAATATAGTAAAGGAAAATTTATTTGTGAACCTGTGTTTAAAGCAAGTTTTTATTCAACTTAAACTTGTAACTAAGTTGTAAACAAATCTTGAACTGAAACTTTGCTTGTTTGCAACAGGTTATTTTAGAGCCACTTGGTTCTACCTAATGGAAATTGTTTGCCTTCAGTGTTTTGTATTTATGATAATTTTAATAGATATCAGCGTCAGACTTATTAATGACATTCTATTAAAAGGTTGGTTTACCGAGAGTGACACGGGAGTATTTTCACCTAAAATGAGTTAATGAAGCAAGAGTCTTGTTACAAAAATGATAATAGGACATAATTAATCTTTTAGTGCTTTTACTTTCGATACTTATGTACATTTGAAGGCAAATACTTTTGTATTTTTACTCAAGTGGAGGTCTAGAGAGAGGACTTCTAGTTTTACTGGGTCCTCCTTGGGTATTTCTCCTTCAACTCAAGTACATGGTTTGTGTACTTCGTCCACCACTGTGCATTCCCAGAAACATTGGCGGCTTCTAGCTTCATGTATCCTCTCTGTGGGTAAATATTTTTGAGAAGAGATGTAAACACACATGAGAAATGTTGAATGTGGCGTGAGAGTGTTGGCAGCCCTGTCTAGATAGCTTAACCCCTATAGCAACCCACATCCGTGGTTTTGTACAGCTGTGTCAGCACAGAGTGAGAAGACGCAGGAAACAAAACACTTTAGATGGGAGCGTTTGCTGAATAGCCATACAGCTCTCACTGCAGTAGGCACCACTACTGCACTACTACCTCACTAAACAGCCCACAGCCCAGCACAACATAGGCCATTAAACACATCTACAGAGCTCCAAGCTAACAGTCACAAATCGTTCATATCATGGCTGTGGCGCTTCCCAAAAGCTTGTATGTGTGGCCTCCTATACACGTCTTCACGCTAGCCAGTAGTAGAACACTTCATTGCTCTCCATTTCCTAAAGAGCCATCCTGGCAACCCCATAGAGTGCGAGTAGAGTCCCTGAGGTGCCTGGGAGCACAATGCACCCCCTCACAGGCTCTGTGCAACAGGGGTTACAGAATGTAACCACTCTCTCAGCTGCATGTGCTGCCGGTCCTCCCTCGGGGGCACGTCCTTTTTCCCAGAAGCACCAGAGCAGAAAGAGACTGAGCGCTGCGTACTCCTCCCCAGCATGGCGATTCTCCTCACGGCTTGCGCCATCACTCCTCGCACTACTGGGGGAGGCAGCAACAGCAGCGGTGCACCTCTCTCCACTCTCTCCACCACCCACCATGCCACAGACACCACCAAGACTGCTGCCCGTGTCTGCTGGAGCCTGACCCTTGGCCACACACACTGCCTCTAGTCTCCAGACTCACTGTGCAGGGCTCGCTGTCAGGCCTTGTTGCATTGACTCTGTCACCAGGCCTTCCCACACTAACTCTGGCCTCCAGCCTCACCTTGCCATCTTCCAGCTGGGGTCTGCTGACGAGCCTTGCTGTGCCGCCTTAACCACTGCCCTCACTGCCTGTCATTACCTTTGCAGTGTGGCGTCAGTGGAGATTAAAAAGACACAGGAAACATAGCACTTTAGAAAGAAGCTCTTTTATTAAATCACGGCAGTGGTGAGAACTAAATGGCTGGGACTGCAGACAGGTCATCACCCATTAAGCACAAATACAGAGCTCCAAGCTAATGGTCACAATTATGTACATGCCTTTAAGTCTTTTTAATCGTGGCTGTAGCGATTAAACTACATGCCTCCCATGAAAAAAATAAGATTAAGTCAGTAACTGGTTCAGTGTGTTTAGAAGACACAGAAAACATAGCTTTAGACAAGAGCTTTTTTATTGAATCACAGCAGCCCATTAAGCACATATACACAGCTCCCAGCTAACAGTCACAACTATTTATCTGCTTTTGAGTCTCTTTTGTCGTGGCTGCAGTGCTTCCCAGGAGCCTGTGCCTGTAGCCGCGCCTCCTGTGCATCTACAGCTTCTCACGAACCAGTAGCAGGTTGCTAAAGTACTCGTAAAATAATAGTCTGTTTGTCCATTTCTATTTATTGTGGCCGAGAAGGAAGATTTGTGTCAATTCTACTTTAACTGTTAAATACATAGCAGCACTG